TACTCCCACTCCTGGCCTAACCCACCAGGAAGGACGTCCTGAGCATGCTCTATAGCCGGCCTAACCCACCGCGCTACATCCACGCTTTGTGACCACACCTCTATTTTTAATAAGAGCTACTCAAGGGTGAGTAACTCTTCAAAATAACCGAACTAAAACAAAAAGCTTTTGTGAAAACAACTAACTAAAATCATAATTAAAAAATATTAAACTAATAAATGTTTTATAAAATGTAAATTACATTATGCAATACATAGATCAGAATACAACACCAAGGACGAACATCTAAAGACAAAACGACCCCACTACACTCGAGAGAGAATGACCAACCACAATCGATATGCCACTCACAATCACAACTCAAAGGATTTAGAGTACGACTTGACTTCGCAGAAAAGGACTTCATTGAACTAGACCAATGACCACCTCGATGTTCAAGTATACGTACAGATCCGAGTAACCAGGCATCCCCTCCACGCACAATCTCCACGCCATTCCCAAACTAGATCAGACACAAAAGAAGTTCTCCACGCAGAACAGAAAAACCTGACATAGCCAACCATTCTGAAATCAGATTTGAGTTTGTTGCAAAGACTTAGTCGTTGTCACTAGAAGACACAACGTCTTATGTCTCTAACTCCAGCTTCCTGGAACTTCTTTAACAAAGAGGAAACGGAAGAAAATGATGTTCGCCAAAAACCAACGTCCATCATCCATCCTTCAAATTGCAGAAGAACTATTCTAAAAAACTCTGTAAAACCCGGATGGGTGGAACCTGATCTAAACTACATTTTATGATTGGATAAATTAGATATTTTACCAATGTAAAGTATTTAATATTAACCAATCATGATCCATCTAACTAACAACCCACTTATTTGTAAGTGCTGAAATTACTTGTAATTTCAGCACCAGAGAGATTTGAATTTAACTTAGAAATTAGTTGGACTCTCCCGAGCACTTCAGCAGCCGCAATAAACCAGTATACCCTAGATCTATTGAGCCTAGCAGAGACTAGTTAAACAACCTGAGACTAGATAGTATAAGAGTAAGATTAGGATCGGTATTAGACTAAGAAGTTGCACGAATCTATCCGGCCGAAAATAAGATAGCGTGACGAGCAGACGGTGTACCCTATCCGAAATTACTCTATGAGTTATACACTCCAGTCCTAACTCAAAATTTTGCGCGAAATTTTGCAAATTTTGCGCGAAATTTGCAAAATAAATGCCATGTCTCAACGTCATCTACTCGCCCCTCAAGGTTTTTACCCCCGCCCCTCCCCACAGCTAAAGGGGTAGGGTAAACTGGGGGTAAGTTGGGGGGTGTAAACTGGGGGGCATAACCTGGGGGATGGGTAAATGGGTAAATAACACCGGGGGGGGGAGGTGCGGTAAATAAACCGTGGGGGGGGGGGGGGGGGCTTGAGGGGGGAGTAAATAAACTGGGGCAAGGGGGGGGGGGTGGGGGTATTTAATAAACCGGAGAAGGGGGTGGTAAATAAACTGGGGGGGACTGGTAAACTGGGGCGGGGGGGGGGGTGGTTGTGGAAAAAAACAGTAAAATGAAGTGTTAAACTACGATAAATTAGAAAATGAAAACAACAATATTTTAAATTTAAAGTTCCTTGTGAAAAGTAACATTTCATGAAACGTAATACGTAGCAACTGCACTAAACATGTAATGAGAAAACTTTGAACAAAATTGTAAATTTCATGAAAAACCCCTCGAAAAATCCATTATAATCGATTATAATGGATTTTATTGACAAAAAAAAATAAAAGAATTATAATCCACTTTTAATGGATTATAATCGATTCTAATGGATTATATTGACAAAAAATATTAGGATTATAATCCATTTTTAATGGATTAGAATCGAGTATTTTGTCATTTTATAGATACTGGCCTTATTATGACAATATAATCGATTTTTATTCATGGGCGCTCGGTGCGGGTAGCCTTCATGCACCTAATACATGTCAATTTTTGCCGCCGGTGTCGATCCCAGTACATATGAAAGATCAAAGGATTGTGTGAGTTCGCCTTTTTCGGTTGTTCGCATTGAAACTAATTTGAAAAGTTTCAGTTCTCAAATAATTGGTTCGGCTCTTTGAGACAGGTACTTTACAGTTTTCTGCGAAATCTATGGACAAGTCTGCAACTTAAAGTCTTGAAATTTATAAATCGATTGTGGGATTAATTGGCTTCATCACTGAATTGCCGATGCAGTTGTCTTAAAAGCTTGCGGGAGGAAGGGGCAGGTTAATGGAGGAGTTTCACACGTGTCTTAAATGCGATATAAACACTTCTTCGGTGCCGATGAACATAGTATTAACTGAGGGGGATTCAAGTTTTTTTTTTTTTTTTTTTTAATTAGAAAATGTTTTATCATCCAATATTATGATTATCGTTTTCGGAACCCGTTGACAAGTTTTAAAAAGCGCAATAATCAATTCTGGAGTCAGCTGACAGAGTGACAAATTCTGGAGTCCAGGGACAAAAACAACACAATACGATACCGAAATCCACTGAAATTAGTAAAATTTTTGGAATCCATTGACAGGTTTTGAAAACCATTGACCATTTCTGGAATCAGTTGAATGACTGATAAGACCTGCAGTCCAGCGCCAAAAAATTACACAGAGGATCATCCACTGAACTTATGGAGAAACCATCCCAAATGAAAAAATGTGTTCGTCAAAAATAAGCATGTCAGAAACACCATATCGTGTTTCGATTCAAGATTTTTTTCCGCTAATTAAAAGCCGCCTTGGTTTTTAAGCATTTGTCTTTCGCTTGCAATTAAGCAATCGTGTGTGGATTCCGTTTCAATTTTTACGGAAAGTGGATGAAATCTCTGTGTTAAGAAAAAACCATTGCCAAAAACCGAATATGCTCAGATTGAACATCTTTAAACTAATTGTCCTATTTGAAGACTTTGCATAAAGTTTTTGGTAAATTTCTCTAGTTTAAATTTTTCGCAGAAAAAATTAATGCTTGCAAAACGTCTGGAGAAAATTATATTTTAAATCTTCGCCATTACCTTTCTAATGTGTCTCATATCAAGATTGCGCATAAAAACAACAGCAAAAATCAATTTTGGAAACTTTTGATTTTATTTTCAAATTCAAAAAGTGTTTCTTAGGTTGTACTTATAAAACATGCCTTTCGAATAAACAATGCCACCAATTATTTCGCAAATTTTTAATAAAGTTGTTTTCTTAGTTATGCAAAATTTGCGGTTACATACAATTTCGGGAAGACTAATACATCAATTTTGTCATTTAATGTCAAATAGCTTCGGAAGGTTTAGATACATTTCATAAGAAACCTCTGTTAGTCGGCCACTTATAACTAACTGTTCTCAATGCATTTCTTCCGGCTAACTCACGTGGGCGATAGCAAAATTAAACCTGTGAGGTGCCATTATTGTATTCTGCGACATGCGGAGAACTTTCTTCGTAAAAGAAAAAATTAGAAACAATGCTCGTCAAGAAAGTAAGAAAAGTTGAGTTTAAGTCCGAGGTGGCTTTCTCGTAGAGTAATCTCGGATAGGGTATACCGTCTGTTCGTCACGCTATCTTATTTTTGGCCAAATAGACTCGTGCATCTTCTTAGTTTAATACCGATACTAATCTTACTCATACATTTCCTAGTTTCAGTAGATCTAATATTTATTGGTATTGTTGCGAGGTTAGAATCAAGAATAAGGCAACTGTATTCTAAATTGATCTTTTCTTCTCTGGCTGAAACTATAAGTATTGTAAGTTTTAGTCATGGATCTTGATTGGTTAATTCTAAGTATTTTACAGTGATAATTAACAAGAACAAGACTGCTCGTATCAGGGCGAAGCCCTGAATGTTCCGACTGCCTATTAAGGTTTATGGAGCAGTAATAACATTAAAAAATTAAAAATAATAAAACAAAATGAAAATTTTTTTTTTCAAAAATTTGAATTTTTTTAAATAAAAATCATTTCCCCACACGCCATATAAAGTACAAAAGGATAGATTTCGCTACTTGTAACAAATGAATTATGGCCAATAAGCTTCGTTAAACCACTTCGGAACGATTGCTAAGACGGATTAACTCTCCGCTTACGCGTCAATAGCGCGAAATATATCGCGCGTTAATTGTCCCAAATTGGCCAAAATGGCAATCTTTAAGCCCCCACAACTTTGCGAAAATTGATCACAGGTGAAATATCTTTTCAAATTTGAGCTCAGGACAACTATACTTTTCGAATGATATAGTAAATTTCCGTCAAAAAAGGCTAGTTAAAAAGTCGAAATTTGTCTGAAGAAAAAAAAAACTCACCCCGAGCACAAATATTCCGTTACTTTCGTATCGAAAGTCGGAACAATAAAATAAAACATTATAAAATGATACAATAAAACAATTGGATATAATAAATTCTTGTTTTGAACTCGTTCCTAAGTTCTTATTTTTCAAAGTTCTTGTGAGAAAAGTCACCATATTACAACACTTACAGCTTTGTAATAAAATAATTGTCAGCATGTCCTCTCTATAAGTCTGTCGAGCCGTCCGGAATGTGTCAGACAAATACAATACCTAGTGAGTTGAGCGCCCTGGTCCGGGAAGCCCAATTTCATGGATTTTTCAAAAACTTACAAAAAAACGAAGTAAAATCTCAATTGACGACCCATGTTATTATTTTTTCAAGACATGAATAATGACCGAAAATTTTAGTTGAGAGTTCTTCCATGCCTAGATTTCATTTTTTTTGCTGAAATCTCGGCTGAAACAAAATGGATTACGATTGATACCAAGAAGAAATTGATTGAAAACAAACTAATATGATGTTATATTTAATACGAAAGCCACGTCCACCACAAGCAATGAGACAAAAGCCTCTTGTTGAGTTTCTCAAAGTTGTAGTTATACTGGCAGCTGATTATTTACAGGTGATATTAAAAATTTATTGTTTCGAAGCTTCAAATCTGTACGCCAAATGAAAATCTGCTTAGCAGATTGTGACGAAAAACGTGCGGTTTTATTGTTTGTTAAACGTATAGCATTGAAAAATAAAGCAGTTGTTCAACATTGAAAGCTCGTGCGTGTTTTTGAATTTTTTGTCAATTTATCAAGTTAAGAAACGCATGTTGTGCTTAACTAACGTCACGTTAATCCGTGCGTAAAAAAGGTCGGGTTAATAAAAACCTTCAAAATTCTACTAAAACCAGAATTTAGACACTTTGTTACAGGTTTTCTACCTAACTTGTTACATAACTTTATATTTGGACTGCTTCAAAAATGGACAACCCAATTTTACTCGATCCAAATGAATCAAGAGAACGAAGGCCAAGCCAGCGACTTCAAAATGTCGGACGCGGCCGACGGAGCGTCGCAGCGAACACCCGTAAATTCGCGGCGATCGCCGGCGCCAAACTAAACGAGCAATACTTCAAAGAAAAAGAATGCAACATTTTCTGTCCAAAAAAGGATTCGAAAGAATGCCAGTGTGGTTTGTTGAACATAAAACATGATAATGAAGTCCTCGAGAAACCTTTCGGCTCAAAATGGGATTCGGCCACTTGCACTAAGACGACAGAGTGGCGCTGTGCAGGAACTGTGCGGTTCAAAAATCAAGATACATTGCATAGTGGTTCACCTTACATGCGAATAGCCGACGACGTGGATGTCGATAAATTGATAAAACATGTCCATGCCAACTGGAAAGTGTCGAAGCCGTCTTTGATTATTTCTGTGACGGGGGGCGCTGCAGATTTCAAAATGAAGAAAAAGGTTTGTATTTTCAATCGGAACTTCCTTTTATCGTTAAGAAAGTCTCTTCTCAAAATTGTAATTTTTACTTTTTAAGCACTTGAGTTATTAAACGTAAGATGTATGCACTTGCGCTTCAACATAAAACATATTGAAAATTATACTTCACCAATTTTGCAAAATGTTTGAAATTTGTGTGACCAGCAATTTTGCATAGAGTTGCGTGTTATTGTTCTGACTAAAATAACCAAAATAGCGGAAAACTTGTGCTCGGTGTGGATTTTTTTTCTTCAAACAAATTTCGACTTTTTAACTAGCCTTTTTTAACGGATTATTTTAGATATCATTCAGAAAGTACTGTTGTCTTGAGCCTAAAATGGAATAAATATTTCAATACATTTCGGTAATATATTTCGCGCTATTAACTCGTAAGCGAAGTTTTAATCCGTCTTAGAAATTGTTTGGAATTGGTTGAACGGAGCTTATTTGCCATAATTGATTTGTTGCAAGGAGCAAAATTTATCACTTTGATTTTTATGTGGCGTGTGGGGGAATGGTTTTCACAAAAAATCTCAAAGAAAAAAAATCATTTTAGAACTTTAGACAAAATTTGTCAGAAATTTCATGAACTAATTTAAGAATTTACTAATTGCTGAGCTTAGTTTCATTTTGTAACAGAGTTTTAGTTTTTGCAATTTTTTTGTTCAGGAAAATTTGAAAAAGAGATTGGCTAAGATTTTTGAACTTCCATTGAGTTTTAAACAGTCAAATGTTTTGTTCGTATACGAGGTTTTGAGTTACCTAAAACAACTGTCCGACGAGCTGTGATTAAGAATTTGCACGTATAAGAAACTAAAAATTCGATTAGGTTTATAAGTTGAAGGTTTTATCGAGTTTTATAAGTTGCAACAAATTTCTTCAGCAAAACTGTTTTATAAGCAACGAATGCAAGAAAACAACGTTTTGAGCAGAGATACAGTTTTTTAAGTAACTGGTTGATCAGTTTTTTTTGCAAATCAGTTTCAGTTTTACCGAACAAACTGAGCAAAATAAGTATCGAACAAAACCAGTTTCGAATATGGTATTTTTCATTTCCAAGCTAACCATTTCTTGCTTCTGCAACACAATCTCATGCATTTAAACAACACAGAGATTGGTGTAGTAAACTTAAAGCAGCACTAATGTGCTCTGAACCAGGGTTGGTAAATATGGTATGGCCATACCGATGGGGGCCCGGCCTTCCATTATGGCCTTAAATATTTATGTCGCCTTCTATATGGCCATTATGGCCATATATGGAGAAGAAAAAAAGAAATGACTAGAAAAATGACTAGAAAGTCGCTAAAATGTTTAAACATAACAATAGGTAATGCTAAGCACTGAACTAAACTTAAACAATCTGCTGCACCGTATGTTGAGACCAAAATTCGGAGTTTGTCTTTAAAAATATCTGCATCTCCACGTTTCGGGGGAAGTGTTGCTTTTCGGCTGTCCGGGAAAATGTGTTTGACATGGCTAAAGAGAAGTTCCAAACGATTTGAGGTACCAGTCAGCCATGCGACATTTGTGCCAGATGTGAGTTTTCGCTGTTTGCTCAAGACTTGGTCGGCAAATGACGAAGTTGTAGGCTCTTCCAAAGCGTACACAAACAATCTGAAAGTAAATGTAATTTGGCACGCTAGATTACGTCAATGACGCCATCTAGCGTGCCAAATTACATTTACTTTTAGTCATTTACTTTCGTAACGTCATTCGCTGTTTGCATTGCCTTGCCAGTTACATATGGCAATCGCCGTCTCTCCATATGGCCATAAAGTAAATGGATGCCATCCATATGGGTATGTATGGTATGGCCCATAAGGATTCCATCCATACAATATTTACCAACCCTGATCTGAACCATCACTCGGGTTTTGAGCTTAAATTAACACTCAAAAAATGTAGCAATTCACAATGAACTGTTAAATAAGCACTTACTTTTATGGTGCGATGTCTCTTCGGGTTGATAAAAAATTTCCAGCAAACGGTTCGATTTAACTCGTTCTGTTATTTTCAATAATTTCAATGAAATGAGGGATCTATTGAACAAGAAGGGGGGATTGTTAAGTAGATTACTTGCAGCAAAATTTCGACAAATCAGAACGCAGCAAAATTCGAATTTAGATACATTGCTTTAGAGCGAATTAACTGTTTTTATTAGATTCAATTGCTGTCTTTAGTAGATACAATAGGGGGGGTTCTTAAGTAGATCCGAAATGAGAAGAGGATGTTTATCGAAGAGCGCTCAAAGTAAAACTATATGGACTGTGATATACAATATCGCTAGGACCACCAGGGTTGACCAAAAATGCTTGTCCTACAATTTCCTGCAGTTTCATGGACTCAGAAAATTGTAAGAAAAACTTTAGGATAAGCATTTTTTCATAAATGAAAAGTGTAGGATAAGCATTTTTTCATAAACCAGAAAACTGATTTTTTCTAAATTTTATTTTTGAATTTTTTTGGGGTGTGTTCGTGACCGATCCCAAGTGAATACACCCATGGTGTACTCAGCACTAGAATTCCAAAAAGGTTGATCGTCTGTCATTGACAATGCAATGGAAACGATCTGAATTGTACAAGGGATTACTTCACAAATGATATAGTGAAAGCATCAAACTTTTAAATTTTGGCAAAGTTTTTCAAAGATGATTTTTTTAAATTGATTTTTCAGCTTATCAGACATTGATCAAGGCATATATAAACCTGCCATACAAACGAAAAACAGGAGTTCTTAGCCTGTTTAAAAAAGTTATCCAGAAAAACGGAAAAAACTCCAATTTTTGTGCATCGTGGACTAAGTTATGCAGACAAAAAATTTAAATTTACATGCAAATTTTTTTTGAAATTGTTTGTTTGAGTACAAAATTCGATTTGAGGTTGAAAAAAATGAAACATTTTTTGGGGCAATTTCGATTTTACTTGGAAATTTTTTAAAAATTGTTTGAAAATTGTATTAGCATTTTTCCATACGTAGGCAGATGTAGGCAATTGTATGATAAGCATTTTCGGTGTGGGGAAATGTAAGATAAACATTTTCGGTTTATGGAGGTCAACCCGGGCATGTAAAGACAAAAAACCTGTCTGCCTTTATTTTTTTCTAGTGTTTAAAATGGCTAGCACCTTTAAAATTGTCAAAATTGTTACAAAAATGTTAGTATTTTTAAAAGTAAGATCCATCGTGCTTTTTCCACATGTTGGAAGTTGTCAAACTTCAATGCTGGTTTTTCGATGTTTCAGATTGTATAAACTCAAAATGCATTTTCCAGTGTTTAAATTTTTAATAATTCACAACACCGTGTTTATCTCTGTGCAGGACCACGACAAACTGAGACAAGGGCTGCAACGAGTTGTCGCCACTAAGGGTGCTTGGGTCATAACTGGGGGGACAAATGCGGGCATCATGAAGATATGTGGGGAAGCTGTAAGAGATCACGTGCTGAGCAGTGTGTCCGCTTCTGATACCAGGTCACATCATTTTTTATTTTAACTTTATTTTAAAATTTTTGTTTATCTAGATGATCGACGACATATTTAGTGATGTAATTTTTCTCAAAAATTACCGGGTCAAAATTTTAATTTTTTAAAATTTTATTGTAATTTAACATTTAATATTTTTTAAAAATTTTTTATATTTAAGTTTTTTTCCTTGTCTTTTTATTATTTATGTAAAACTATTCAAAAGTTTGTTAGGTTTATTTTTCTAGGCTCTTAATCAAGATCAAAACTTGATCTTTCCTTTTCCAATGAAATTTTAATCCCTTAGCATGGCAGTATAGTGGAATTATTGCTTTTAGGAATTCTTGTTGAGAGTTTATTTCTGTTAGGGCAGAACCCAGATTTTGTTTCTTCTTCCTAATCGTTTATTTGACTAAGAGATCCCTATAAACTTTTTATGAAAATTGTTTATTTAACTTTGCCGCACGCAGTTCATTAGTCTAATAGAACCTTTTAGTTGATTTTTTGTTGCACGTTCAAAAAGTTTTGTATATTAATTAGATTTTTAAAAGATCCTAACAAACCATATTTTTCTACTTCATTGACTATTTCTGGGAAGAATGCGAATAAGCATCCCCCCCCCCGGTTTATTTACCCATCCCCCGGTTATGCCCCCCCCCCCCAGTTTGCACCCCCCCAGTTTACCCTACCCCTTCAGTGGTAAAAGCTTGAGGGGCCGAAGGGATAGCAATAGTTTTTGTTGCGATTTTCTGGCAGTTTTATGGCGAATACAATAGATTTTATTGCGATTTTATGGCGATTTCAGGGCGAAAAAAAAATAAATTTTGTTGAGATTACGTGGAGATAAAAAACATTTTAGTGGAATTATAAGGCAATATAATCTTCATGAAAGTAATCAATTTTCTTTCTATTATAAGAGAAAATGTTGCTTAAACTGGTTACACATAATCGATTATAATGGCAACCTTTTCCGCAACATTTTCTCAATATAATCTATTTTTATCCGAGAAACTTCAGTGCGGGAATACCAAAAACAGCGTAAAATAGTCCAGTACTTCAAGTGATCTATTTTTTTTTAAATTTTGTTGTCAGGGTTTCAAAGATTGTGCACATAGACTGAAAGGTCTTCTCATGTTTTGTCTCGGACACTAGTCTGCTCTGAACTGTTCTAAGATTTCAAATACATTAAAAATTAAACTCTCAAAGTGCCGTTAAATTTTTTTTTGTGCTTCTCAAATTAAACAATGAATTAAAATTGAACTAGAGACAAAAGATTGACTTTGAAAAAACTTTCAATATTGTCCTAGGATCTTAAATCCACTATGGCGTTTTAATTCTTTTTGTTTCACTACGAGTTGTTAACTGAAGTTCTGTTCTGTAAAAAGGCCAACTAGCTCGAAAGAAAAAAATGTCTTGTTTTTAGGAATGAAGTGGTGGCGATTGGCATTGCAACTTGGGGGGCGGTTCCGGGTCACGGGGAGTACCTAACCCCCCCTCAGAATCACGACGTCAAAAAGGATTATGAGGCAAACTACCAAAAGCCCGTCAAAGTAATGACTCAAAGTGTATCTGTTCAAATTTCCAATGTTTTATGGTTACTGTCAAAGTTTTAACTGGACTATCGGCAAACGTTCAACAATTTAGCCGGTCAAAACCGAGCTGCTAAACTTAGTTAACGGAGCTGTTTAAATTTATATGTTTACTAACATTGATTTCAAGTGCTCGGGTCTTATATGCACTAAACGGCCCAAATTAATTATTTCTACATTTTGATCATATGTCAATGTTGATCCATCTGATTGATTAATTAGTCAATCAAAGCAAACAACATGGTGCCACATTTGCATTAAATTCCAAAGCAGATAAAATGATTGGCCAAAATGACCAAAAATTTATTGAAACCATTTTACTGAACTTTTCCCGTCTTGGCAAAACTTCACTAGAACAGGAAATAAACTTTTTATTTGACTACGATTCACATTCTCGGTAAATTCGGCTAATATTTTTTCTGCTGGAACAGTTGATTGAAAAGCCTAACCATGTTGCTTGAACTTGATTGGCTCATATTAGCCAATCAAATTCTACCGCATAAAGTTTAGGTAAAGATATAAAAATTTTGATTTTGGGCCGTTTGTGCATAAGACCCACGTGCTCTAAAAGGTGAAAAAAATGGCTACAAAAAATGGCCACTGGCTAAAATGTATTAAGAGTTTAATTTAAGATCTCTATATATTCCAGGGCACCGGACTGGATCCGAATCACACCCACTTCATTCTGTGTGATGATGGGAGCAGGGGGCAGTTTGGGAAGGAACAGGGGCTGAGGGGCAACTTCGAGAGGATAGTCTGCAACAACGGAGTTGGCAAAAAAGGCAGGTCCATCTCTATCTTGATCCAGATATAATGCGGGCGGGGCTATTCTCATGCGCGTAGGATCGATTGCACAAAACTTTTCAACCAATCAGCGCCCTTTAAGGCGTCGAAAATTGACAAATGTTATGGCTCATTTCTTCCAATTTTTTCAACATTGAGCTCTGATTGGTTGAAAATATTTTGGCATGAAATGTGCGAAAAACGAAACGTCTTTTTCGGTTGATTTTTTAAACGTCGATTTACACAAAATTATTTGAGGTTAGCTGGAATGTTTGGCAAAAATATCTGCAAAAAAATCTGTTTTTCGGCTCTTTTTCGTACGTGGAATTGGCAGACTTTTCCACGTTTTCAACTTTTTAGCCAACTTGGCCAATAAGTTCAACTCATTCAAATTTTTGCTCAAAATTACTCGTGCCAAGATTAATTTTTCAGCTCCTTTATTTCTTGCCATTCTGTTTTTAGTGCGTTTTCCACGAACAAATTCTGATTTTCGTGACTTTTCGCAGAAATTATTTTTAAAAATGATTCCAAGCCATTATTCAGAAAATTCAATATGTGGTTAAGATTTTTCATTGACTTTTTTTCGTGTTAATAGTGATAAGTTTTCATATTTAACTTTTTGTTGCCAATTGTTTTTCGGTCCAAAAGTTTTCAGTTTCTTTAAATATGATTTTTTGCTCTATCCAGCTATTCATCTCAGGAAAACTTTGGAGTAAAAAATGGAGAAGATTTAAGAGATAAGTAGGAATTATCTGAAGTACACAATTTTCGGAAAAAGAATTGTTGGAAAAATTGAAAAGCGGAATTTTTACGCAAGTTTTGTTCATATTTGTTCATACTTCATATGTTCATATGAGTGAAAATTTCAAGTTACGAGGAGGTATTAATAAAGTCAAAATTATTCAATGATGAAATATGATTGAGTACGAGTAGAAAAAGTGGACATCGAAAAATTGAAGTTTTTCAGTTTAAAGTTATAGATGATAGAGGCAGAATTTTTTTGCTAGTTTCACGTGTTTGTTCTTACTACTCAAACCTTCCTCAAAATTTTCCCTGGAAAAATCTGAAATGTCACCGTTTTTTCTCTTCCGTCTTTTTTTCAGTTCTCAGCGTTTTTGAAGGATATTTTCCGATCGTTTTTAAACATTGAACTGTTCAGAGCTTAGATATTTCATAGACATTTTGAAAAGATCTTACTCGATAGGCAGCGTCTGAATTTTTGGTGTTCTTCCATGATGGGAGTTTTCGTTTTCATGAGTTGTGTAAAAAAAGTAAAACTTGAACCCATCTTGAAAACGAGTTATTATAAAGTTAAATGAAAAAATAAATTGTCGCTTTTTTTACGAGGCCAAACAGAGCATTTGATTAATAATAAGCGGATTTCGCAACAGGCCAAAATCTAGTTTGTATGCGGAGTCTGCAAATTTTAATCTGAATCCGCATAAACTTGCGGAATCTACTTGATTTTGTGGAAACTGTTTACATTTTCCGAATCCTGAACAGCTAGCTATATTCGCTCGTCGCAGAATCCCTAGCAAAACTAATGCATCGACAAAGCTTTCATTGGAGATATTTGTACGCGGAATCGACAGAAATTTTGTCAGCGGAATCCACTTACATTTTGGAACATGTTTGAACTCTTGTCTCCGGAATCCAGGTCTTACAGACACCAAATTGTTCGCCTATTCAGCGCACAGTTTGGCCTCGTAATGTGCTATTTTCGACATGATATTAAAAATTTTGAAAAAACACGTTGTTTGTTCCAGGAACCAAGGTTCCGATAGTGTGCGTGATGGTCGAGGGGGGACCCGGCACAATCGACACTGCTCGTAATGCTCTGATAAACGGCACGCCCTGTGTCGTGATTGATGGGTCAGGGAGGGGGGCTGATGTGCTGGCATTTGCTGTGAAAGTTGAGAGAAAGGGAAACAATTATACTTACTTTAGGCCCTTATAAACAAATATTTGAACAGAAAAAATAATTAAATAATTTTCAAAAATTTCAGTCAGTTTAAACTTTGCGAATATATTTTTTGAGAAAATATACAAAAAAAACTTTCTACCAAACGCAACAGTTTAAAAGCATACATCAAATTGTATTTTCATTTACAATTTTGTTTATGAATTTTTCGTATTTTTATCACTTAAAAAATCAGTTTTTGCTTTTAATCGTTGATATAATGAGCCTAAATGTAATTAAAACCCTACGCTCAGTATCCCGATAAGCCGAAAGACAAAATAGAAGAATTAGTTCGAGAGAAGACAAGAAAAGATCTCAAACTCCAGGGGGACAATCTGGACAAAATAGTAAACTGGTTGATGGAATGTCTCGTATTCAAGGACAAAATCAGAGTGTTCGAATTTGATGAAGATGACGGCGAATCGGCGGGTAATTATTATTTCAGCCAAATTTAGGACTTTTTTTAGCCAAATTTAGCCAAAAATACCATTAAACTCACTAATTCATTAAACTTGGAATTAAACTCAAGAACAAAAAAGACTTTTCTAATTAGCAATAATTAGTTCAATCTTTTATGTCGTCTTATCGATGATTGATACAATCTTGAAACATTATTTGAAAAACTTTGCGTGAAATAATTTATTTCTGGATTCCCATTTAGTCAGTTAGATGTCATTACGTTAGAAAACAAAAAGTCATTTGAATTGTACTTTTTACCTAATTTTTTCCTGCTATTAGGTGACCTGGACAAAGCAATTCTTCAAACGCTCCTCGAAATGGGAGGGTTGGACGTTCGAACCCAGCTCGAGCTATCCCTTCTTTGGAACAGACATGACATGGCTGATCAAGTTTTGAGGAAAAACAAGGATCAAATCGACATGCGCGACATCGAAGAATTCCTAACCAAATCTTTAATCGAAAACAAACTAGAATTTGTCAAAATCTTTGCTGAAATCGTAACACTTCCAAATTTTCTGACAAAAGGCAAACTTGAAGAGCTCTACAATGACACATTGAAGTTTTCGACAGAGAAATTCCTTCTGGAAACGTTGGAAACGAAAGAAGGAAAAAAGCATATTCCCCGACGAACTTTGGAAGATATCCAATCTGCGCTGCTAAAAGTTTCAAATATTGAGTATGATCCTCAATATTCGATGATAGAACGAACTGATCCTTCGAAAGATGCGGTAAACAACATCCTCAGCAAGAAAAAACGACGGAACAATAACAACAAGATTCATCACGCTCAAGAATTAAGCTCAAATCAAAGTTACCTGCAAACTTTCAGACATCCAGAACGCGAATTGTTCGTTTATTCACTTTTGTTCATTCGACCCGAAGCAAGTGAATATTTCTGGGAAGATATGCTATGCAAAACATCGGCTGCGCTTTTTGCGATTCTAGTTTCAAAGACCATTTTGAATTCATCTGGCGTTCGTGTTGACATAAATTTGCAAATTAAAGTCGAAAATATGCACGACCTTTATGAATTCCGAGCCAAAGGAATCTTAAATACCTGTTACGATTCAGACGCCAAAAGGTGTCAAACAGTGTTGAAAGCCGAACACGAACCATGGGGATCAAAAACTTGCCTCGATTTAGCTATTCGGGCTGATTGCAAGGATTTCATTGCTCAAAGTGGCTGCCAAACATTAGTTCGCGAAGTTTGGCTGGGAAAACTAAGCGATCGAAACCCGTATTGGAGAATTGTGGGCGCAGCTTTGATACCGTTTTTTATATACGCACTGTGGTTTAAAGTTGACGTTTCAATCGAGCAAGCCGAACTGGAACAAGACAGAAAACGATTGAATCAAGACGATAGTGAAACAAATGGAATACTGAAAAATAACAATAAAGGAGACATTGCAATTCAGAAAGATTCGCCAACCAGACCAGAAACAGCGGAATTGCAGGTAGAAATTTGAATTTTATAGACTAAAATATAAATTGCAAAATTGTTCCCATCTTACCGCACTCGATTTTCATGAAGAATAATCGATTTTAGTGGATTTTCTTGACAGAAAACTTAACGCATCTAACCAGTTTGCCCAACCAGTTTCAAGCGCTAGTAATCGACTATATTATTGTTTCAGTGCCACTCCAACTGAAATTTAGAGAAAAAAAATCCATTTTATTCAAATAATAATTGGTTGTAATCTCTCTTTTTGAAATCAAAATAAAATCAATTATGGTTCATTTTAGTCGATTACAATCAATTTTAATCGATCTAATTTTCGAAAAAAAAATTGTATAGACTATCATCAATAATAGTCAATTTTTTCATCCCAACCTCTAATTCATTTGTTTTGCACAAAAAATTCATTATAATCGATGATAATTGATTACAATTTCTTTCAATTGTTTGCCCATTCTGTCATCGCCCATGCATCTGAATTGCCTTATTTTAAGCTTTTCGTAGACATTGACTTACATGAAAATTTTAAGAATTAATTTAAAAGTTTTCAAATCAACTCAAACTTTTGATTTTTTGTTTTTTCGTTTCTTCTTTCACAATGCTCATTTTTTCACACCAAAATGTCAGCATATTTCTTTAGCTTCATGACTTATTAGGAAGAATCATTTTTCATCTACCGCGGGAGCCTCTCAACTAAAAAGAAGGGATATCCATGAAACTTTTTTTGTGATAAAACTTTGTGCTCAGATGAACCAAACTGTGACAACTATCACTTTGTAGATTTTGTTGTTGACAGAAATATAATAACCCGTAGAATATATTTAAAGTAAAACATTTATGTCACTAAATTTTAGCAAAATAAAAAATTACAATAGATTATAGTCGATTTTAATTAGCTTAAGCAGTTTTTTGTATGGGCTATGATAAATTATAATCAATTAAAAGATATTATAATCCCTTGGAAAATATCACGATTATAATCATTTATAAATCCTTCAATCACCTAATTTTGGTAATTATATTCATTTTTAAATGTCAAAAAATCATCCTAATAATCCGTTATAATCGGTTACTTACGCCTAAACTTGGATGCGGCTTGACCTAGTTTTGCCTTCTCAATTTTCAGATTTTTGCAACGTTAACACCCCCCTCCCCCCTACGTTTATTAACATTTATCCCCAGTTCGTTTTTCATTAACAATTGCACCCACCCCTTCCCATTACCCTCCCCCAATCCCCCTCCACATTCCCCCTTCGCCATTCCCCGACATTCAATAACAATTCATTCTAGTTTCCATGAGTGCATAATCAAAAAACAACACAACTTTTTGGTAAAAAAGAGCTACTAAAACACAAGAAACTGCGTTTTGGCAACTTGGTCTGGGTTTCTGGAATCCTCTTTCTTGTCCTTCATGAACAGGCAAATACCCTCCCCAAATTTATTAAGTACGTCAAACCAATACGCTAATTTTGCAAAAAAAATGCTTTTAATGGCTGGCGGAACCTAAAAAATTTTTCTGAAGGCGCCGTGGGTGCTAAAAAACACTTATTTTGTGCAGGGGAAGCGCGCCAAAAAACGTAACTTTTTGGTCAAAAAATTCCAAAAAATGCCTAAAAACGCCTGTATGATTTGGGAGAAAAGCATTTTGGTTGACATAAAAAAATCCGCCCACCGTTGACATAAAAAAATCTAGGAGAAAATCCTAGATCCGCCCCTGAATTACATGTATATTTAAAAAACAAGCTACAGACTTAATAGGGGCTAATAATTAAGTTCATTTAATAAAAAAATTTGGTCTTTTGCCCATCTAGCGTCCAGCTAAATAGTAAAACTACCCTATAATGGGATAAAATTGTTTTGTTAGTAGAACCGGGTTAAGCTTCAAGGGAAAGAAAAAATATTTTTTTAGCTTTATAAAACATTCTCATAACGTAATTTCTCAGTTTTTCGTGTGATAAACTCAGTAAATGTTTTTTGGATTTTTGACTCGAACAGCAATTTTTTGAAATTTTGACATTAACAGCCATGTAATTTCTGTTAGTTAAGACGATTTATCCACAAGGGAAAGGACCAACATACGAGCTGTTCAGTTCTTCACGAAGAACCGCTGATGTACCCCTGGTTAATTATTTTTCTTTCTTTTTTTTTCTTCTCCAGGTCCTGGAGAGCGAAGATTCTCTTCTCTCCTCTTCCAAGATGAAGAACGGGGAGTTGAACATGTTCTACAGATACAAATATTTCTACACCGCACCAATTGTCACCTTCATCCTCAATCTGATCGCTACTGTCGCATTCTTGGTCCTATTCAGTATCGTCACTTTGGATGGTACGTATATTCATTTCTAATTTCGAAAAAAAAATCAAATTAGTTATAAAACGTGGTAGAAAAAAAGTTTCATTAAAAAAATGGACAAAGCAAAGTGTAACATTTGGTATAATTTATTAAAAATTAGAAATATTAGTTGCAAAAAGAACTTTTGGGAGTATTTTTTGATTAACATTAAAGTTGCTTACTGAATTTTCTTTCTTCGCCAACATATTGGACCCCATCACGAAAATCATTTTGGTCGACCTAAAAAAATCGACAAAATTTGTGAGAGTATTCTTTTTGAAAGTCCGTGCACCCCCCACCCTCTCCCTCAATCTCCCCATCGAGAAAGAGAAAGTTCTCCGCTCCTGCTCTGAAAAATTTTGTTTGTTCTGCTTTAAAATTTTTTGAAATTGATCGTTTGTTCTTTTAATTATTTTTTGACTATTTTTATTTTTTGATTTTTCTGTAGATTTTCTTTTTTGACATTCGACTTTTCTTTTTTGTCTTCTTATCTCACATAATTATCAATTAGGGCTGAAGAAAACGCCGAGAGTGGAAGAGTACGTGATCATATTCTGGATGCTCAACTTAGCCCTGGAGGAATTGAGACAGTTCGTCATCATATCAGAATCCACTCTGATGAAAAGGATTGACGTTTTCTTCGAAAACAAGTATGACAAAGACAAAAAAAATCATTAAATAGGTCAACGATTTAAACTGGTTTTTGTGCAAGTTTAAACATAATTCTAAATAACTCAAATTTTTTCTCTAAAAGTTTCATCGAACTCTTATCAATATCAGTAAAGAAAGCAAAGCCGCCAATTTTTGCATTCATGTGAGGAAACGTGTCTTTTGGGTTTTTTCTCCATTATTTCCTGCATCTCCAAAATTTTGAGCACAGCAGTTTTTGACATTTTTTTTTATTTCTTCCAAAAAATATTGTTGTGTTAAGCTAAAAATTATAAAGATATTTCACTTGTGATTTTTTAGAAACTTATGGGTGCTTAAAAATTGCAAATTACCCAGTTTAGGACAATTGATGAGCCATATATTTGGTGCAATTAAGGCGTAAGCGGAATTTTAATCCGTCATAGAGATTCTTTCAAATTGAATGGGGGCATGCGATAAGGTTGATTTAAATTTTGCGAACTGCAAATTCGACCACTTTGTATTTTGCATAGCAAGCATCTGGGAGGATGATTTTCTAAAAAAAACTCCAAAAAACAGGTTTGAGTTTTTTCTTGTTTTAAAATTTCATCCACTTTTTGAAGCGAAAAAATCTGTAAACTACCAATTGATATATTTTGTGCGTGGTAACTTTTTGTGTAAAATTACGTTGCTTGCCTCAATTAAATTTAAAGGATTTGCCGTTTACGCTTTAATAGAACAAAATAAATTGCGCTCTGATTAACCAATTATTAATTGTAGTCGTCAAAGTAGTCCCAAAAAAAACCATATTGAAATTTTGCGAAAAAGATCACATTTACAAAATTTGATTGTTCCGAGTTGCGAAGAAAATGAACAATAAATTTTGTGAAAAAGATCACTTTTACAATATTTCCTTGTTTCGACTTGCGAAAAAAATGAAGAATATATTTGATTGGCGTGGTTTTCTATTTGCATCAGTGTTGAAAGAAATTTATCTCGGCTATCGATCCATGGATCTTCATGGGCCCCACAAAATTCACACACTACTATATTAACTTGTTTCTCGAGTGTAGCCAAGTTGTTCGTTCTATAATTTGATGCTGAAATTGTACCGCGCATTATTTACGCGTATTGATTCATCCCGCTCTACAAATCACTCCAAATTGAATTGAGCCAAGTTAACTGGTCGTTTTAAATCAATACATCACTCAAACTTTAGGACTTAAAATCTCATTTTGTCAGCCTTAGTGTAACATTATAATTTGTCAAAATTCTATTAATCATAAAATTTTTGAGAACATTTAATAAGCAGTCGGAAGAATCAGCATTTTTTCCTCAGATACGAGCTGCCTTTTTTCTAAAATGTTTTCGATCAACTTTTCTTTGTTTAGATGGAATGCAGTGGATTTAGTGGCTCTGACGTCATTCGTTCCTGGGTTAGTCATGCGCATGAACGAGGACTGGGGTGAGCAAATTTAGACACCGCGTGAAAACTACAATTGTCAATAAGAACTTGTTGAAAACGGAAAAAACAATGAGACGAAGCATAATGTAGCAATTTGGCATATTTAAATGAACAGTAAATCTAGTAAAAAGCTCGCCACTCGATGAAAATCATCGGTAGAGTTAAAATGAAACCTAAAAACCCCAGTGCGTAAAAACTTGTAAAATTAGGTATCGAGCGAAAGTCGGTAGTCAAATTATTTTCATCATCGTGTCCAAAAACCTATTTCATGACTTGAAATCGTTTTTTCTTGCTGTTTCGCAGCCTTATTTTTCCAACGTATTTACCAGGTAACAGGGTTAGAGTCAAAACGTAAAAATGGCTCCATTGGAAGCTCTTTTTTTGTTTTTGTTTGCCGCCAAAAACAATAAGAATCTCTCTGATAACAACTTCCAGCTTTTCGAATCGTAAATGAACCATATGAGAACTAGAAGTCAACTTTTAGCGTGGCTTAAGAACTTTCTCGAAAGGTTTTCTTCTATAAGCGTACGTTATTTAGGCAATATTGTTACATCTTTTTTAAGAATTACAAAAAGAACGTTAAATCGGTATTTTGGCAATTTTGCCAACCAACTTACTGCAACATCTGATGGATTTTTCTCTGATGGAAAAAAATAAAAATTTGGCTTGCATTGACATCGTATGCTCGGCAAGCTCTCATTTTATTTTTTTGATGAGGTAATCGGTCTCAAAATTTTGAAGTCTGGAATTTAAGATCGCATGTCAGCCTGGACCATAATTAGCAAACTGCTTTCTAATTTAATTTTAAAGACTGTTATTGCTTACAATCTCGATAGCCATAAGTTCGAACCGACAAAATGTATAAAATATAGAGCTGTAGTCCAATCTTGATTGAAATTAGCAGTCTCACTGGAATTTGAGACCTTCATTTTGCCTGAAAAACCAGCGTTTGCATGCAAAAGCAATCTGCTGAAATTGAAAATTTGCCTTTTACTACGAAATCTGTATACTCGAAAGTTTTTAACTTCTTGTACACAAATTTAATTTTAAAAAGAATAGAAAATCTGCTCACAATGAGACAAAACAACGTATATTTTTAAATAGAAATGAATCCAAGTTTGATAAAGTTCAGTATATCAAAACTATTAACCCAAAACTTTTCGATACTGTTTTTTTTCAACTTTGTATATTTGCTCATGTAGGGAATTCTTCAATTTTGTTTAGACCTCTTGAATGTTGCACATGGTTTCTACGTGGTTACTTTAATTCTGTACTTCATTCGATTCACCAGTGTGTTTTCAATGCACAACTATTTGGGACCTAAAATAGTGATGATTTCCAAAATGCTCACTGATCTTGGATTCTTCTTCTGCATTGCTCTGGGTTAGTAAAAAACTGTGAAGTTTCTTTAAATGTTAAAACTTTTGATGAGTTCATCTTTGAGGCATTTCATCAAACCAAAATTTAAATAGCCATTTTCAATTAGAACTTTTGCTGGTCTGAAACGTATTGACAACTTGAGCGAAACTGTTTTGGGACAGTAACCGCAAAATTATAAGCATATAGTATTGCGTAAGCGGCTGCTTAATCAGGCTCAAAGTCCTTGTTCATTCAATAGGGAAAATCAATCGGTTTTTCTATAAGAAAATAACACTAACTATATCACCATAAGTTTTTCACATGGTTGGAACGTTTTGTAAAATCTGAACAAATTGCTTATATATATTTTTTCATTTTAGAGGCATCAATGTGTTTTCAAAACTAAAAAAGTATTTCACAGACGCGAGAGGGCAGTTTGAACCTCAAGGGTTTTGTCTTTTCTCCTGTTACGAGCAGTTTTGAATACAGGAATTGATATCGAAGGTTATGAAGTCAACGCTGAAAGCTTTAATATGATATCACTTCTCTGATAACGTTGTATTTGCGTGAAAAAAATGAACAAGTACAACCTAATAATTACTTTTTGGTTGTCCAAATTACGAAACTTCGAAAACAGAGGAAAAAATACGAAACATGTGAAATCCTCAAAAAAAAACAACTGATGGTTATAATTTGAACAAAATATAGGATATTGAGTTGGAGGTTGGTCCAAAACAATTTAGTCAATAACAATCGCTGCAATATATTCCAGTTTACGTCGTGGCCTATGGAGTTGCAGTTCAATCACTGATCTACCCTGGTATCACTCAACCTGCATTCAGTATACCTTGGGGGGTCTTTTTCCGATCATACTTTGAGATGCTGGGCGAGCCCAACTTCGAAGAGATAGGCGCTACACATTTCGAGAACTGCACTGAAGGTAAGAAAAACAATCAATTTGGTAAACTCGAAGGTCCTCTTCTTCATTTGAATATTACCTCCTCTTCTTTAAATAGCATTTGTTATTATCTCGTTTCAGAATATAGAAAAAAAACCAACGCAGTTTTTCGCTGAATAGCATACTTTTTCTCCAAGTTTTGAACCATGGAAAATTAATAAACATTGAACCTAAGCGAAACAGTTTAATATAACGCAAACTTTATCGAGAAAAATGATTTTTTTTCTGGTTTCCAGGATCTGAAGCCTTGTGGCCGATGGAAGATTGTCCAGATGAGAGGAAAACGGTATTCGCCATAGTGTTGAAGGCACTCTACATGTTATTCACTAATGTGTTGCTTCTCAACCTTCTGATTGCTATTTTCAACAACAGGTAACCTAGCAACAGTCTCGGAAAAAAATTCTGTAAACACCACAAAGTTTTCTCATATCTTGATTCGATAATTGTTTTTCCTGTAGAATATCAGAGGCTGCGTAGGCTTAAAAATTGGCAAAAGTGCAACGCACACAGTCTTAAAAAATTCCTCAAAACAGAACAGCTAACTAAGATTTTTCAGTTAGTCTTAATTGCAAGAAAAACCATATAGTTAGCGCTTTTCAAAACTGCTGTCTTTTCTGATTAAAAACAAAAACTTGAGCAATGATTTGACCAACTAATCAAATTTAAAACCGGTGATAGGTTTTTCTGCAATTTTGATTTTTGGATGAACTTTTTTTAATTTTTTTTTTGAAAACAATAAATTGAGGAGGATAGGTCGGGAAAAAAGCAGAAAAGGTAAAATCTGGTAATTTTAATGCACACAACAAATTTGTGATACATACTCATTAAAAAATGTTTGCGTTGTTGAGGTTTAAGTTTTGAAGTTAAATTTACTTTCTAGAAAAACTAATCACTTAATTATCGCTCTTTTTCATGACTTATCCTGCGTAAATTTTTCACGTTTGTTTCTTTACCATGTCCGATACTTACAAAAATTAAACGTCAAATTATATGAGAATTAACCAGGCTTTGACAAACGTATTATACTCAACCTTAGTTAAACCTTAAAATGCTACGTACAGAAAAAAAATTAATTTTGAGCAAAATACAGTGATTTGGATTGAAAAATTGGAAAGGTATTGATATCTAAAACAAAACTTAGATACGAAGATGTGAACAAAGAGAGCAATGTGTACTGGAAGTTCCAGGTGTTTGAGGTCATCAAGGAGCACTACAACCGGTGAGTCATAATCAGATGTTTTTCAATAACTTTTTTCCCCTTCAGTTAGTTGGAATGGAGTCTATGAGCTATCACTTGAAAGTATTGCAGAAAAAATCTGAAATAATAGAAAAAATTTTTGGTGTTTTTGTTGTTGCACAACATAAAAAAATTTCATATCAGAATTCATTTGATTTTTTTATGGGAAAATGCATTTTCAACTTGTCGCAACTTATCATTTTCAAGTTATGTTGAACTCATACAAATTTTGTGATTTATTTTGGAGTTTTCTATTTTTTTTCTGATAAATTAATCAGAAACTGCTAGTTTATGCTCCATACATCAACCTTCTACTTTTATGGCTGCTCTCTGAACTTTTTTTGCTATCTAAGACATTTCTTCTAGCTCTGATAAACTTTGCTTATCGCAGAATTCAACTGAGACTGATTTGGACCCATTTGAATTCAGCTTTTTGAATGAAAACTCCATTTTTTTTCTACAGTCCCAGTCAGTATTGCTATTTTCCTCTAATTTCGCCCATTTTCTTCTAATTTTATTCTAATTTCGCAAAGTTCTGCCAATAGAACAATTCTATTGAGACTGTTCAATTGTGACCTATTTAAGGTCATCAATTTGAATGAATTGTTTCTGTTTTCTTCAGTCCCTGGCTGCCCCCGCCGTTCATCATAGTGTCACACGTGTACACTGTGATTGTGAGTGTGAAGAACATGTCAAAACCCAAGATGAAGAGACTGACAGAGAAGCCAAGAGACCCGAAGAAGCTGGAGAAATGGGAAGATATACGGTACAAAAACCACAGACAAATAATAATATAATAAATGGTTTCCAAACGATATCTAGTTACAAAGTTATTTATAAAAAGTTTATAAATACAAATTAGAATCGTTTGGGAGAAACAATTAAGCAAACTTTCAGAGTGAACTAAAAATCCTCGTTGGAAGGCGAAGCCCGAATAAAGCGAATTTATTGAGCGAATTTCACAGTGAACTAAAAATCCTCGTTGGAAGGCGAAGCCCCGAATAAAGCGACTACATTTTTGTGTCTTGAGAAAATAATTTGATCTAACTTAATGAAGATTTTTAGAAAAAATGAAGGACAGAATTTTGGAGTCTTATATAATGTTGTTTTTTTGAATATTTTTTTGAACGATTATTGGATTAGGTATATATATATATTTTTCGAACTTTTCATTGGTTTCTCTGAATTCTTTTAATTGATTCTTGAACTTTCAGCGCGAAAGAGTTTGCTTCTCTGACTGAGAAGAGACAGCAGGAAAACATAGAAGAGAGGGTGAGAAAGATAGAGAACAGGTCAATAATCATCGACAAAGCGACCAACACTATCAAAGGCAAGATCAAATCAAATACAAACTTCCAATTTCTCGTTTCACGACATTTTTCCGCGGTTTTTCTCAAAAAGTCTCTCTGAGTTTTTTTGCACCATTGTCAATCAGTTCAAATCTCAGAACTCAACATCGGCAGACCTAAACATGTTTTTCAGATGTTTTTCAAACATAATTATGTTTTTACTCCTCAAAACTTTAGATTTAGCAATGTAAAAAAAATTGGTTCATCAAAACATTTTCCACAAAACAACTTGGTTTTGACCTTCGTAATACTGGTTGCCAAGTTTTCGGAAAAAAGCGTGACTTTTAATCAAAGAAAAGTTTTTGCCAATTTCGCGTCAATTCAATGTCAAATTATGAAACAATATGTTGTATGATAGTTTTTTGATGTTTCCATAATTATTCAGGTGAGCTGCAGGAAATACAGAAATCAATTCAAGAAGCCGTCAAAGAACATTCTTCTAAGCCGAAAGAAGAATTGGACGACAGCAAGTTCGCTTTCGAGCGAGAGCTCACAAATATCCGAGACAAAAACGCAGACCTTAAGGGTAAGTATAAACCATATTAAATAAGATCAATTTTCCACGAGGGGAAGGAACAACTTACGATCTGTACAGCTTATCACGACGAACCGCTGCTGTGCCCTTGCTTAAGAACTACATGCAATTTTTTTTTGGTTATTTTAGAGGAAAAAATTGCTCCTTTCTTTTGAATTATAATACTGAATTAGAAACTATGAGACTGTAGCCTGATACTAACTAATATGTGCACTGGAACGAAAATCATTGACAAGATCATTGCAAAAAATACGCTTGGAATTTTTTGGCGTTTTATTGTAATAACAGCTCAAACTTTGAGATTTCATGAAATTAATTTTTAAAATTTTGCCCAAGAAAACTCTGAATAGAATATAGCGTCATAACTTATTGATATTTCAGATCAAATTGATCACTTGGAGACGAGACTGGAGTCGACTGAACAAACACTGACCAATCAGATCTCAGAAGTGAACGAGCGATGTCAGAAGATTGAGAGTATGTTGGAGATGATAGTTAGGGGCATAAGTAGAGGCAACCACGTTGAACCTGTACAGATGGTAGATTTAGAATTGGAGAGATAAATACAAAAACTGTTTCTGAATTTTATTGCTAACAACTGTATAATTGTAAATACAATTTGTAAATAAAAATATGTTGTAAAAAGTTTTTAAAAATTCTTATTTTGATTGTTTAAAAAATTAGTTTCTGAAAAAAATTGTTTCTGAAAAAGTTTATCTTGCGAAAAAAAATTCCTAGCTTTTTTTCTTTGATTTTTTTCCAAAAAACCATACTACTGACTGAGTTAGAGGATCTCCAATGAAGCGCAAAAATTCAATAGACGAAACTGATTGTCTCTGGGCGAATAAAAAGACCGAGAAGCCTGATAAAACACTATCTTCAATTTCTTTTCTGTGGTCGTCTTTCTGATTAAATGTCATAACGTGCTTGATAAGAATCCAGCAAGGGAGTTTCATGGATAATAGTTTTTTTTTGAATTTCATTGTCAGTCTCTACAAAGTTGTTTTCGGCTTTGTACATACTACATCGGATAAAACAAGATTTGATTGGTTTGAGAAAATACTTATCGAGCCTTCAATTTATTGGTTTAGAATTTTTCTCACTTTTTAAAAACTTTCTTTCAGTTTACATTACAAGTTCATATCTGAAGCTGAAGATAATCATCGAAAGGTGAGAAGTTTATCGATGGGTTTGTGGTTCTGAAAAATTGAGATCACCATTTTGAACTTTACCCGTGAAGAGTCCGGACCAAACATGAAGGTTCTAGACCAAAAAGAGGAAAACGAACTTTTAAATGCATTCGAAGCAAGGGAGTTTCTAGAGGCGACGTTCTGCTGACATGCCAGTGACAAGGATCAATGGCCCTTTTTTACTTCAAAGAAGGATATAGAGGGAACTCAGCCAAAAAATAGGCACCCCTGAAGATCGTCAAGATCTGGAAGTTCTTGCAGGAACTGTTGAAAAAAGCCGACGAGATTCAAATTACAGTGGACAAGTTTGGGCCTAAAGCAAACGATTTTAGTCATGAATTTTTCTCGGAAGATCACGACAAGGAAAATCTGAAGGCAAACACAACTCTAGGAACGCTTGGACGCTTGAGTCCTTTTAGTGAAAAACATATTTTGAGAACTTGTTCACCTCTGAAAGAAAAAGTGCTCTAGACTGGAAGAACTCTGGATGAGTTAAGCATATCCATCAACTATCTCTGAGCATTTTTTTTTGCTATTTATAGAGAGATACTCGACCTGTGACCAGCATTTTTTTTCAGTAGGGCGGTTAAAACGTTTAGCATCGATGTCTGTTTGACTTTGACCACTATGACTAACGACGACCTCTCAGTATTCCAGAGACTGCGCAAATATGTGGATCTATTGGCGCAAGGCGAAGATAAAACATCCCTTAATCTCGAGCAGATTTACAGAATATTTCTGCAGCCATACCATAGCTCAACGATGTGTAATTGACAATGCAAACTCATCGTTTTGGACTTAGGATGTAGCTCGGAGAACTCATTATCTGTGTAATTAATCGTTTGCTTTCCCAGACCGGTGATAACAACCTACTGTTATCAAGGTTTTTACAGCGACAACCGGCTGATTATAAAGGAGTGAATTAATAAGATTTGAGTAATAGTTCCACTAGTAATTCAGATCAAATAAATATGGTAAATCACCCGCACAAAGTTGCTCGAACCAAAGACTAAAGGTCATGTTTCACCAGCTAATTTTAACAAAATTCGGGAAGTGATCTTTCAGTTTGAACCAAATAAGATAGATCAATTCCAGTTCAGTTACGAAAAGCCACCAATACCCTGCCTTTCAAATTAGGTGGTTCCTAGTAGAATATCTCGGAAAAATGATGTTTAGCTTTTTCTCAAATTTTTCTTCAAAGCGTCTGCAGGCATGTTTGCTGTTGGTAAAAAAGGTTACTGTCGCCTTCTTCTGTTCAACTAACTCTCGAAGGAAGTGTAGTTTTATGGCAAAATGTTTCGTCTTTCCGTGATTCATTGAATGTTTACTAAGGGCAATACAAGCTTGGTTGTTTACGAAAACTTCCAAAGGCCTATTACACTTTATGCCTAAGTCGCTAAGTATGCCCTGTAAAAGAATTCCTTTCTTTACTGTTTCGACCACAGCATTGTGTTCTGCTTTGGCTGTTGAAGTTGATACACAACGCTGAAGTCTGCTAGACCAACTTATTACACTTGAAATGTCACTGAGCTTAAAACAATATCCTGAGGTACTTTTCATTTTGTCTGCATTTCGAGCCCAGTCCGCATCCGAATAGCTAACACGATTCAACGCCTTATCCCTCCTTTATACTAAAGGTGAAATTTTTGTTGTTCCTAGCAGATATCTTAGACAATTTTTTCCGGTTTTCCAATGCTTTTCACCTGTGTTTTTCATAAAAGAACTAAAAGGGTTTCCTCCAAAGTAAATGTCGGGTTTACTTGATAAAGCTAAGTAATTTAGACAACCAACAAGTCCTCGATAGTCACCTTTTTTCATATATTTTTTTGTTCTATGCTACCTTCTAAAGGACAATCTTCTTGTGCCAGTTTTTTGTTTTCAACAAGAGGGGTTGTTATCGGTTTTGCTTCGGTCATCTTAAATCTTGATAACAATTTTTCAACACATTTCTGCTGAATTATCTTGAATTCATTTCCTGAGTAATCAGTTTCATTCTTAAAAACTATTAAAGATCACTAATCGCGCTTACTTCATTTTTTTTACAGATTTTGTTTTCAAACCAGCTACAGAAATTTTTGTCCGCTCCATAAAACACTATATCATCAACCCACAAGCAAATTAAACCTTCTATCTCTCTCTTAATCCTCCTAATAAACAAGCACTCATCAAAAACTGATTTTTCAAAGCCTATAACCTCAAGATAGCCTTTTAGAGTCCTATGCCAGTTTCTACCGGACTGCTTTAGTCCATAAAGACTTTTTTCAGAAGACGAACTACAAGTTTTGCTTCTTCATCAAACTTCTCGAACACTTCAGGTTGCTTCATAAAAATATCTTCATTTAGTTTGGCATTCAAGTATGCCGTTTTAATGTCTGACTGTCTCAACTCATACCTATTTTGAACTGCTAAGCTCAGGAATTTTCTTATGATCGTCATCTTGGTTGTAGGCGAATACGTGCTGTGAAAATTGCCTCGCTCAACTTGGCTAAAGCCTTTAGCAATAAACCTAGCCTTAAACCTAGCCTTAAACCTAAAAAATTCCACCATTAGATCCGCACTTCAAAACAAAATGCCACCTGTTACCTATAGGCTTTTCTCCTCTATTTCTAACTAGCTCCCGAACTTGGTTTTTCTCTAATAGATCGATGCTTTTTTCATTGTTTCATGCTAGTTAGGTTCTGCTAAAGCTTCTTCAGCATCTTTTGGTCTGTTTTTGAAAACTTCTCCAAAAATACTAGATCACCCAATTTTTCTCCTTGGTCACTTTCTATTTTTTTCTCAAAATAGAACTTAGATTTGTCAAAACTAACGTTTCTAGGCTTTTGCATTTTGAGTTTTCCTACATCCTCAACTCCTATCAGATATGCTTCTTTCTTTTCCTTTATGTCCACAAGAAAATTCTCAATTTAGAATTTTTGTCTAGTTTTTTGCATATCTGTTTTTCACAAAATTATACGCTACATATCCAAAAGTTTTCACAAAATAAAGTTGAGTATTTCTCCATACTTACACTCGTAGGTTGTTTTGCCTAAATCAGAATAAAAAGAAACGTTTTTGAGATTGGTAGCGATTTTAAGAGCATAAGGCCAAAATTTTTTCAATAAATTCGCATCAAAAATCATGCAGCGAGCCATTGGGCCAATTGGTCCCCACATCTTTTCTATCTTTCCGTTTTCTTGAGGGTTATAAGGAGCCGATGTTTCCAGTCTTTTTTTCTGTTTCCTACAAACTCGCCCAAAATCTTGACCAATGTACTCTCCTGCGCCATCTAAAACTAAAGTCTGAGGGACTCCTATGTCTGCTGTGAACCCTCCAACATTTCTTTTGTCTTCCTGAAACAAATTTTTTGCTATCAAGAAAAACTGTCCAGAAAACCTATAGCATATTTATGTCCATCCTCTGCTATCGGGTCGATAGGACCTAAAATGTCTGTGCGAACAATAGCTAGTGTCCGGGTTGCCCTGGTGTATCAATCTTTCGGAGCTGGCTTCATTTTTGCTATTTTCAACTCACAATTTTCACAACTCTCAATTTTAACATCACTTATTTTCATGCCTTCAACATGTTGCTCTAAATGACTTAAGTCTTTGTAGTTATAATGACCCACCCTTCAATGTTCTAGCTACATAACACTCGTCTTTAGCGACAAAAAAATGTCCCATTAAAAAGACCATTTTTCTCTCGTAATGGGTAAACTGAACCATTTCCCTGACAAGCAAACGACCCTCATACCAAAAACAACTTCTGCTCCTGCTTTTTTCATTTTTGATAAAATTGGCAAATTTCTTGATTTTTCAGGAACGTACAAAAAATCCTTCAGCTCAATAATCGTAACCTCGCCTTTTTCATTTTTTGCTCTGAATCTAAGTTCACCTTTCCCTAAGAGTTTTGCCTCAGAGAATTTTGCATTTCTAACCGATCCAATGAAGTTCTCATCTAAACTAACAAACATTTCTCGATCTTTAATTATATTACTGGTCGCTCCAGAGTCTACGACTGAGTCCTCGCCTGGAGACACTCCACTCAGATAATTAAAATAAGCCTCTGTTTCAGCTGCTACGTTGTGTTGTTATCGTTTACAAATGAACATATTCTTCGCTGGACAATAGTTTGCAATATGTCCAAACGCCTTGCACTCATATCACTGAATTTTTCGTGCTTTTTCTTCACTACCTCGTCTGCTGCCTATGTTTTCTTTGCAGTGTTTCTACACTTGCCCTATTTTATGACAGTTGAAACAATCTCTATACTCGCTATTAAAAGTATGCTCCTTTTCAATGACTTGTCTTTCGCTATCAAATTTCGCTAATTCGTTTTTCAACTCATCTAAGTTTTTCTCATCTCTACTAAACTTGGCTATAGTAGAAAAAGTTTCAAATTGTTTTGGAAGCCCTTTGAAAGTAATTGACTTTAACATTTTTTCACTCACTCTTTTATTCTTTTAA